GACATCATCAGTGGGTAAGGGTTAGCAGTTTCGCAGCAGGAGACTAACTCATGCGCACTGATGATAGCACATGAATTAGTGACGTAACGTTTGCAATGAAATTGTCTAGGTCGGTGAATACCGAACGTGGGATCACGATTTAGACTGAATACGCCGCAGGAGCAGACAGACTTCCCCCAACCTTCTTCAAATTCGGGGGACCTGTTCTTGTGAATTGTTTGCACAACTTACTAGTGAAGCTCTCTGAGCAGGAGAGCGTTCCAGCAGAGTGGAGCCCCTCAGTCCCAATTTTCAAGGGAGGCTCACGAGGTGCTTTTGTTAAGCTCCGCCACCCGTAGTGCCGAAGCGATGTCAATCTTACCCTGATGAGCAGTTTACAGTGCAGCCGTCCGTTCAACCCTAGTGTATGGTTGCGGAACCTGCCCATCAACAGAGCTAAACAGGCTTGTTACGTTCGACAATCGCTGCATTGTCAGCGTAGCTCATGTCTGGTTGGAATACCGCGTGAGCAATGAGTGTGATAGGCGGCGAGTTTTTGGTGCAGGAAGAGTGAGTGAGCCGCTCAGCACCGTTATACCACGCGCCACATTCCGACGGCTTGGCTCCGTATTGCGCATGCCAGCACACCGACTCCCACATCATGGGTTGTTTGCGCGCCATGGGTTTGAATGGAAGATGAGGCCAGGCGATGACTTGGTCGGAGTTGGCATCAGTTGGTGCATCTCGACTACTGGGCTGGGGTTTCAAGAATGATGAACACGTTTAGTTGGATACTTACCGATATGGCGTGTGTCGCGAGCTCCTTTAAATTCCCCCTACACAATTACGATGTCATAGAAACTGAATAACATGATATGTAACATGTTATTACTTGCTTCTTGGATTTGTTGAGGTTCAATTTTTGGTAGCTCATCTTTTTTGCATTGCGGCACATTAGCTGAGGCATGTTTCTCACTCTCAGTTAGCGTGTATTGATGATGGTGATCACCAAGTTTGCTCATCGATGTACTCCATGAACATACATTTCCTATGAGAGAAGAGGGCATCAGACTGACCCGGAGAACAATAGTTTTCCCATCTTGTTGTTATCAAACAACGCTCTTGATACTGCTTAGGACTGCTAAAAAGACGTTATGGTACCATGAACAAGATGAAAGTGATCACACATTGGAATAGTCTTCCAAGCTTCAAGTAAGCTAATATACGCTTCAGAGGCCCATGCACAAGGTGGACGCGATGTAAGTGGCGTAAGTATTGACCGGTTCATTCGCCCCATACATCTGTGGTAGCTTGTATTCCAACTAGTAGCATCAGAGTTGCATTGTGGATCGAAGATTTGAGGAACGAGTGGGGAGGCTAAAACGTTAGATCCATCATGAAGCTGAGGTTAAACAGTGTAGTAGCACACATCATTGAAGAGTAGAAGACTGTCTATGATCTGGATTGCTTTATGAGCATGCACAGACGAGCGCCACATGTGGCTAATGATGACAAGGTTGACTTGAATATGTCGCGTGGCTTGGCTGGGTGGATGCCCAGTGTTGGGGTGTAAAACCTTTTGATGGAAATCAGGGTTGTTGTGAACAGTCACCGATCGTCATTCCCAGCCCAGAGGCATCGAATCCGAAGTGGCCCATCAGATGTTGTCTGGTTCCCGATAAGTTATCTGGTTTGGAAATCTTATCACCAACATCTGTACCCTGAGCCATGCGAAGGGGAAAGATATGCTGACAAAATTCGGAGGAGCGCAAACGAAAACAATACCACTACCGCCTCTGCATATAATAACAAGAAACGTATGGTATAGTCATCAGCTAAGCACTAGAAGATTGGTCGAGAAGCCAATGTCTTGTATGCATGTCAGGAGACACGGCGCCGGAAGATCGTTAACAAAGCGCATCTATCTAGTTGACGTAGAAAGTGAACAACGAAATGTAACGATGCAAAATGTGACACCTGGTCATGGGCGGTCTCGTGATGGACGATTTGAGAGGAAAAGTTTACCACAGTGGAAGGTTATCAGAAGTACGCCGGTAGGCAGTACCGACGCTTCACTGCCGCGCAACCACCACCGGTCGCGCGTCCGGCTAAGAATACTGTGAGGGCGGGTCAGCCGGTCTCTAGGTAAGCTCGAATCCGTTCCCTCGGAATACATGGCAGGTCTACGATCCCTAAGGCCACGGGTCGGCCCCAACAGTAGAAAGAGATGAAAATGAATTAGTGAAACTGGTGGCATAGATTTTTGGTTGAATGATGTGTGCCGGCTGCTCGTCTCGAGAAAGGATGTTTATTTGAAAGCATCGAACCAGTAGGAAAGCAGGATAAAGACCCATTCGCAATGTGGGGAGCACATGGGATCAACTGTGTGTAAAGGGGCGGAAGCGGACATTTTCAATGTATACAAGGAGGGAAATCGGGGATTTAGTAAGCTGTGTTTGTAAACGTCTTAAGGGGGGTAAGTCTCTGAAGGGCAGCGTGTATGTCACAGGTGGAATGAAGCAAAATATGTGACGAAGTGATCCGACTCGACTTCGTAATAAACGAACCATCGACGAAGGTATCAGACCTAAAAAGATCATTCCAAGCAATGAAATGGCATTTACGCTGAAACATATATCACAATAAATGAGCGCAGATGACACCTTATAGCGTTGAGTGATACATGAGACTGTGGACTGCAAGCTACTGATTAGTACGAAAACGTAAGTTGCGTTAAATGATATTAGTTAGGAGAGTAATGTCATACCGGAAATTTGCGCATATGATTTAACATATAAGTGCAGATGATGACGTTGATATTCTTGTCCGCACAGATGGACGGCCAGTAGTCCTATTTGGGCGTTTCTGATTACTCCTAGAGGCAAAAAGTTAATATGAAAATAAATGGCATGATCTTTCCAGATGTGTCGTTAAATAAGAGTGTACATCTTAAGCACCTCCGTTCTTTGCATAAACGGCGTTAGTTTTTAAGGAAAGCGTAATTTCACTCAGCGCGAGTGATCATTGGAGCTCTCTGAGTGACCAATTTTCGTGCCCCAAGCCGTCCCAATCGGACACTTGGTCGAATTTGGGTCACTCGAAAACATTTTCGGTTTATTTTACAGACGTAACTACAATTTGGGAATATATTTCGTCTTAAAGTTGAAAATATTTGCAACTAGGAAAACTGTATTCAAGGTGTACGTTAAGGATGGATTGGAAAAAACATTCAGGGTGACCAAAAGTCGTTCAAAAAGTGTCACACTGGGACGCCCAGGGGCACAAAAATTGGTCACTCGGGAACATCCAAAGGTCATTCCAGCGGACACTTTTTGGTTACTTGTGTGGACAGGGTATGCCATCAAGGTTTTGAAGACGGATCAGACAGCAACGCATGTATGAACAAACCCAGTTAATGTTTGCCTTAATACAAGCTTTTCAAACGCACAAGAAATATCTTCTTTAAAACGGTTGTCTGGTCCAATAGGTATTTACAGTGTAGAAACACATTCAGCAATTAGTCATTGCGGGACTGTGATGCAAGCCAGAGATTATCTGTGAAAGTGAGTGCTGATGCGAGAGTAAAGAGCCTGTCGCAGTTTCCTACAGAGAAATTAGGCAAATTTAGATGAAAGAAAGAATTGAAGAAATTTAGACCAGAAATTCGAATCTCGCGGATGAGACAAGTGGTGAGACCCCAACGTTTAGAATGAAATAGGACGAGCTCTCAATACACGTTTCATTTGCACCAGCCGACTGAGACAGTGCGACAAAACACCCACGGTCGGAGTCACATGGACCGTACCCACTGGTTAAATTGTGCTGGTTAGATGTGGTTCCTCTGGACCGTTACATTGGATTCGACAATCAAGGTAACTTGCATTGCAGTAACACAGTTGGGACGATAGCTCAGACAATAACACAGACATGACCTGCACTGTCGGAGATTTGATTTAGTTCGAGCAAACCAAATGCAGCAGCTAAATCAAGCAGCCATATGATCCTGAGTGAGAATGAACAATGGCGAAAGAAATTAATTGATTGACGAATAGCTTGACTCGGTTAGCGAGATTGGAGAAGCAGAGTAAGTGTCGAAGTGTGAGAGTGCTATCAGCGGATGTGAGTGATTAAACGGAAAGCAGTCTCCGACACAAGATTACAAAGGTCGAGAGAGGTAGTTGGATAAAAAAAGGTGAATAAACTATACCCTACTGAAAAATCGAAAACTGAGAATGAAAAAGCGGTTATACACCAAAGATATTTTATGGTACGAGACGAGAAATCGACAAACGTCTCTTACGCATCAGCCAACAGATAAAAACTATTGTGAGTTAAGTCACGTGAACTACGTCCATCGGTGCCGAACAGAAGTGAAGTTTCTACAAAACGCGACACTGAATTTGACAAGTTAGTTGGCTTTAAGATCCTTGCATTGCCCACACAGATTGAGAGGCTGTAGTAGTCATCGCAAGTGGAGTGTAACACGAATGAACCTTTGATAAATGATCGATTTGGTTTATATGCCATCAGAAGTGTTAAAGAAACAGGTGGGATATTAGCAGTTAACACCTCTGCGCTTCAGAAGGAAAGGGTATGCGTCAAAAAGAACATTTCTACCCTGTGAATAAGCCGCGCCAAATAACAGCAGACAAGCTGAAAGTTGGAGATTCCAGCAGAGAGGGAACGATGGTTAGGAAGATGAAGACGCCAAGCATAAACGTTGCGTGATTGCAAATAACTTAATCCTATGCCGAATACACAAAAACCGCGTCGTCTACTGGGTGAGAGTAACGGGATGAAGATGATCGAGATGCCAACAACGGCACCAGCAGCAACAACAACAGAAGGATGAAATCAACGGGGATACAAAGTAAACAGGAGAAATATCGCGTGTCATCAAAAGAGAGGTAAGCAAATTCCACGAGGCTGTTGAGAAAATGGTATGCTCCGGAGCATGAACCATAGACAGTGTGAAGTATCTGAATTCTGTCAAAAATCCACATCAAAAAGTGACCACTCACGCGTCAACGATAGATTCTTTGCATAAATAGTAGTTATCGAATTTGGACTTGGTAATACTGTCGCTCACGTTCATGGCGGGAACGCGTAAGGTGCCGGCTTTGACATACTGATACAAACGATGCACACCCGTGACACTCTCTTCCACGATGCCTCGCACGTTTGAGAGCAGATCCGGATGATCCTTGTGCAAGCGGTGTGTCAGATCACCACCATCATCTAGGATCTGTGAAATGGGTGGGTAACACATGTGATACGGAAACATAACAACAAATTTCACGTTGGGGATACTCAACTCATAGACCGAGATCTTATAAAGTCTCCGTTGCAGTAACTACAAAATGTTACGACTCAGTCTCCACATTAAAATGGCAACTGAACTCGTTTATAGACCGCGACGTGCAACCTACAAAATAAACTTGAAATATTTGCAACAATTAACCCGCTTCTTTGAGTTGATGTATTCTTCCTTATGACCAGTGATTACACTGCTGCGAAGCAGTTTTATAATCAAATCCCTTGCACTGTCGCCCTCCTTGTCCCACAATGTGGTCACACTGCCTGTCTCCAAAGATGCTGTCGAGCAGTCAGCCAGAAAACTATCTGCGAGATTCAGAAAGACCCATGACTTTTCACTGGTGTGGTAATAAATGCACGATTTTATCACCAGAGTCAAAGATAACGCGATAAACGCGGCGAACAAGGAAAAATATGCAGCTCACTGAATAAGCCGCTGGGCGAGGGAGCTTGTCAAAATACTATGTCGTAGAACCAGTGACCGCTCTCTTTTGATAACTGGTGGTGAGGGCCACTTATAACTCAGTCACAATCAGTGAAGCATTAAGTTACTTCTTTGTCTCTTCTATGGGCCTGGAAAATGACCATATAAGCGCGTATATATAATTTGCAGCTAAAAACCTTAGGCAGGGTTGATATCTCGTACAACGGTATCCATTAACTTATTAAGTTAATCAGGCCATGCTCCAAGCTGATGGAATTCCACCAACCACTAATAAACTAGGAGGACCCGACATACTACGGCTTTTAATGAACATATTCACCATATCGCCGCGGTTTAGCCACTTTCCAGATCAACGGAAAACGTCATTTATTATGCTTCGGCACGAACGTCCCATACGAACGATCGAGAACTACCGGCCAATCCACTGCACCCCACTAATCGCCCGGTTATTTGAAAACTGGTCAAAAGCGGAGTGACAAACTTGGTCGATTCTTTGGGCCTGATAAATAATTCGAAGCACGATTTTCCTGACAGGGGATCGTGCCTCACTGGTCAACTGCATTAGTTGAACTACATTTCAGAATCCATCGATTTCGGCTATGCAGCAGTAATTCTATTTCTGAAAATACATTGAACATTCTATCGGGTATCTCACAAGCCATTGTTGCAAAGATTAGAAGCCGTTGGGATCCTGGATCCATCACTCGGTTGGTTAACATCATCTCTGAGTGGTCAACATCGGGTAATCACCTTAAGTAGAAATCGTTTTTCCCTACGCCTCATCACTAGTGGGGTTAGCCAAAGAAGCGCGCTGCTTCTTTCAATGTTACTGCTCTACATGAACGACATCACCAGATTGGTAGAAAATGGTTGGCCATTGTTATTCGCATGAATAAAGTACCCTATCAGCTTTGTATCGAACGAAGAATCGTAAAGTTACGGAATACACTACCAGAAGGGTTAATAGAGGTCGATTCTGTGAAGTGTTTTAAAACACGTATCGACGATTATTTCGGAAACCTGTGCTTTTGTGAAACGATGAACATACAATGCCAAAAGAAGACATCGAATGCCCGGAAATAATGACACCAATACAAATTCCTAACCGAACAAGGATAAACGATTAACTGACCAGACACAACTGCCGATGATTCACAACGAAATGTTTTTGATTTTCCGTAATTCGATAGAGTTGTACAGAAACCTTTCTACTTGCTCTGAAATACAGTCTGTCACAGTCTCAGTATAAGCTACGGCCCAACGAATTTCACGGAACGTATCCTGTCATACGGCTGTTCCATCCCAGAAGAATCTATTACACTGAACATGCCCTATAGGACTGTTCATTCGTGATCACGGAATTAGGTACTCTTGTATCAAACAAGTTCTCCGAAGAGGCCCATACCAAATAGCACCTGCCAGATAAGCTGTGTTTAATACATCCAACAAAATCTACACAATCAGTGCCGGGGTTGAACGCTATAAACTACTCACCCGCCCCATCCTCGAGTAGGACATTAGGAGAAAGACCGACAGAATTGCTCGGGAATAACTGCGGAGACTGTTAGCTAAGAGAGATTGACAAGTACTCTTTATGAATTATCGACAGTGCAGCAACAAATTTCAATTCGAACCAACTTGGATGAGACGAATGAAGCATAACTTGTTGTTGCTTTACAATCTGCTATACAAGAAAACTTATACCGATTTGCTTAATTCGAACTGCAACATAGCTCAATTTGAGAGCTCTGCAACAAAGATTATACACTGATTATACCAAAGGCTAGAACAAGGATTCGCTCAAATTTCCTCTCGGTCAGATACATCTGCGGAAAAAACTGCCAATCATACTCAGATCAGGTGACAAAAAGGCATCATTTGGTAACAAGCCCTCAAGTTACTATGAGCTGAATATCATAAAGACTATATTCACATGGGAAAAATCCGTGAGGGACCCAAAGACATTAAAAAACACCCATCTTTCCAAACCTTGGTTTTCACCTCCAACATGCTCCAAAACGCTAGCATTTGAATCGCATGCCCCCATATTGCACAATCAAGAGCAAGGTTACTTTTGTACACCTTGATCAGTACCACTACAGACACGGTTTCTCGGATAATGAGAAATACACGTATTGTTATCATAAGTGAGAAAGAAAACAAAATGCCAAGAATAAGGAGGAGTTGGAAAAAAGGATGTGGCATTCACTGCAGCTGAGACGGAGTCGTTGGATCCGGAACAGTCAGATGAAGATTAGCGGGAAAATTGAACATAAATTGAAACTTGTAGCTATAAAAAGTCTGTCGCAACATGCTATCAAAGACAAAGGAGACCCCTATAATCGACGGAAGCACCTTTGAAGCATGCCAAACATGCAATCCGACTCAAAATTCCGAAGCATATGCTGCGTTATAATACACCATTTTCACATAGTGAAAAACAAATCGAACGTTCCGCAAAGCAAATTGGACATTGTGCACAATAGTTTTGCTAGAAAATCATGAAATTCTAAGCCAAAAACAAGGAGACGTTAGGAGCACATTTTAGCCACGAAAATGCTACCGATTTGTGCAAGCGATGGGCGATTGTGCGAGCCCCTCTCTTGATCAGAGGTGTCACTACGATCAAAGTTTTCTTTTGTCCCTGTAGTGGCCTCCTCGTATTTTGTGGGGGTACGTGGACGAACCTACGCAGCTGCACGACTACTGTGACAAATGCCCTGTGCTGTAGAAAACGACTAAAATGAGCGACGGAAGACGAGAGAGCGCAAATCCGAGGCGACGGCCGTACAAATGAACGTCATGGGCACAGAACGACATCCTCATCAAGCTTGCTTTCGTCGAAAGTAAGACCACTTAGGAAGAGCGTAGGCCTGCCGAGTTGCGATGGTCGTGGCATTTTTTCGGTTTGATCTTCATTCTTCTGAGTGCGTTGAAGACCGTAGACACGGACAGGTGGATACCGTTATCCCTCAGCCGCTGCTGCAGCTGCACCAACGTATCCTGCGAATGTCGTTCAGCGGTCACTTCAACGCGACGCAGCACATCGGGAGTCAGCTTCTCCTTGTTGTTGCCTCCACATTTGCGCTGAGCAATGCCGCCTTCTGGCCTGTAGACATTGATGATGTTTCATGCCGTACTTTTGTTGGTATCGGCGATTTGAGCAGCCTCATGGGTGGTTTTTTGTCAAGGAAAACATGCTCCGTTATAAATTTTTTTTGCGCCAGTGATGTTCGTCTGTACAGTCGCCACCTCGGAGCTGCGTTCTCACGTAGTTCATCGACCATTTTGGTCGTTCCATGTAGCACATGGTTAATACATCTATGCTGTGTTCGATGGAGTTCAGACAACCGGCAATAGTCCATTGAGCATGGAGCTTCATGGGTTCTCCCACACAAGATACGCGAAAGCCTCTGTAGGGACAGGGGAAATTTGGTTGACTGATTTTGATGGATGTGAGCGACATTATAATGAAACAATATTGCGAAATCAAGGTGAGGCTTTGAGAGTCCCTCACTTGATCACCGGTATCGCTCACATTCATCAAAACCGGCCAACCAAACTACGAGAGAACGCAGCTCCGAGGTGGCGACTATACAGATGAACATCACTGGCGCAGAAAAAATTCATAACGGAGCATGTTTTCCTTGACAAAAAACCACCCATGAGGCTGCTCAAATCGCCGATACCAACAAAAGTACGGCATGAAACATCATCAATGTCTACAGGCCAGAAGGCGGTATTGCTCAGCGCAAATGTGGGGCAACAACAAGGAGAAGCTGACTCCCGATGTGCTGCATCGCGTTGAAGTGACCGCTGAACGACATTCGCAGGATACGTTGGTGCAGCTGCAGCAGCGGCTGAGGGACAACGGTATCCACCTGTCCGTGTCTACGGTCTTCAACGCACTCAGAAGAATGAAGATCATACTGAAGTAATGCCACCACGATTTTGACCGTGTCAAGTGCAACGACCATCGCAAGTCTGCAGGCCTACGCTCTGGACTTCTCGGTACACGCGCCGCATGACAAGAGCAAATGTATCCTCCTAGAGGAAACCGGGTTCAATCTCCATCTGCGGCTGACGCAGGCTCCCTCAAGAAGAGGGATGCGCGCGAAAGTTCTCTTGCTCGCAGGCAGAGACCGCAGAGTGACGCTAAATTTGGCAATGAATAACCAAGAGATATTTCTGCGCAAAAATAATCAGCGAGGGCACATGAAGTGGTGCAAAGTTCTCTATTTTCATCCAGGGACTTGTGGCGCGGCTACGAGGCAGAGTAGAGATGCTTGGTGCATGGCACTTCATGGTCATCGCGTGCAATCACATGCCAGATGACATACGGAGGATCCTGGGCTCCACTGTCGCTCCTGTCACCCTACTCGTACATGCCGAAATCTGTGGAGCATGTGTTTTCGAAGGTGAAAGAGTCGGCGAGACGCCTGCTAACGAAGCCGACACCTGAGCAGTCGCTAAGTGCGGTCATA